CTTCTGTTGCTGCAAGCCTTAATGCTCACAAAGGCTCGCATGGTGGGTAATTGCCTGACCCGAGTTGCATAGGTAATGCAGCATACCTATTTATCTCAAGCAGCTGATTGTGCCACAGCTATGGTCCGTCCAAATTCTAGTAATAGGACTTAGTTAGCTTCTAGGGTGTAGGTTAGGTTCTAGGAGTAGGCCGTAGGATACATTGTTAGGTTTAGGTCCTAGGGACTGGGCGGACCAATTTGCTGTGTGGAGGCGGACCCCATGCTCGGGGCAAATGCAGCTCTGCTAGCCTCGGGTTCAGTTTGACCACCATTTATTTGTGTTGCAAGCTTAGGGGGTGTGGCCCATACGAAAGTTACCAACCCTACCTTCTTTTTACCCTTTCGTAGTTTGTAAGGTTTATATATATTTTTGAGCTTCATAGGATATTAATATAAATTGAAGTATTTTTTAGGTATATATTTACGATATAATGAAATCTGTTATTCCAATAAATCCTATTTTTGGGATAGTAGTGTCAATGCAGTTACTGAAGCTATATCATGTGTGTTACCTGGTACTAGTCTAACTACTGGTCAGTGGGTTAGAGTTGATGATCCTGATCATCCTGTTGACTGTAACAGTAATAGTGACTGTGATCCTTTTCGCTGTACTTCTGTCACTTCACCTAATGCTACTCTCAATCTTTATCTTGCTCAGGGACTATCAGCAGAGCAAGAAGGCTGGTACAAGTGTTGTCTACTCACTGATTGTTCAGATCCTAACACTAACATCATCTTTGCTAATATATTCAGTAAGAGGAGACTATTATCACTTACTAATTTAATAATTTTCATTTGTAGGATTTGCAGAGATAGAATCATTTACTGTTGCTGATTTTCCTTCTGATATGACAGTATATCCTCAGGAATACAAACTGAATTGTGTTAAAATTGGATTCTATTTGTATGGTATTAGAATGAGCATCAATAGTATTGCACTGGTTAATTATGCTAATTGTGATGATAGATTAAATAATTATTGTTCTGGTACTGCATTAGTTAGTAGTACCAACACAATAAGATATACCGTTGCTATCACATGGAATGGAATGACTGTCAGTAATGGATCAATTAGTCAACCAACCACTGGAGATCAAATGTACCAGTGTGTACTGGATAATCCTTCTAGTGGTAATGATAGAACCCGTACTTTAACCATAAAAGGTAATGTCTATAAAATGCACATGCAATTTTATATAACTAATAATTATATTTGTATCTTTTCTTTTAGTTCCAGCAACTGCTCCCTCTTCTCTTACTGTGGTCAACAAGACGACTACCACTATCACTGTCAGTTGGACTGCACTTGATTTATCTGATGCTGATGGATATGTAGTCAATGTCACTAATGACACAGACACTGTGCAGACAGTACAGTTGGAGGGAAGTAGTAATAATACAATCACACTGAATGGACTGAGAGTACTAACAACTTATAGCATCACAGTCAGAGCCTATCAACAATTACTGGGACCTGCTAGTGCAATCAGTGTACAGACTTCAGGTATATATTGCTACTGCACCTTTTAATGTACTTGTAACATTACTGATGTATTTCTAGTTATTAATTCAATTAATTGGGCTCTAGTCTCATCCATTACTCAACTCAATAGCACTCGATATCGTATTGATTGTATCACAACTACTGATATAGATCCTTCAACTGATGTTTACTGGTTAGTGAATGGAGTGATGATGAGTAACTCAAACTATTCATCAATTGATGTCCTGACATACAACAACACACTACTGGTATATCCTGATCCACTGGGAGTTTCAGTTAATGTTACCTGTATAGCAATGATTGGAGGAGTCAACTACAGTCTATCTGTGATGTTACATGGTATGATTATATTTGAATCAATGGTAGATACCTTTGTCTCTTTTCTAGCTCCAAGTGGTCCTCCAAATAGTGTAAGAATCTTTATATTGAATGCTACTAGTATCAAAGTGAACTGGACTACTTCATCAGAGGCTAATGGATATGTGATTGAGTATACTACTGGAGGTGTAACCAGGGATTTAGTATCTACTAGTGAAGATGAATTTTTAATAACAGATCTCTCAACAATGAGTACCTATACCATCAGTGTGTACTCATATATAGATCTTCCTTCAGTTAATAGTACAGTAACAGTGTTAAAATTTGATGGTGAGTTATAATTATCATTGGGAGAATGTAACTGATATTTGTTCTAGTTCCTAGTCCAGTAACTAGTCTCTCAGTATCTAATGCCTCAACCACTGGTATTACAGTGAACTGGATTATTCCCAGTAGTGACAACTATGTAGCATACTACACCATCTCCTATACTCCATCTTGTTCCCAGTTCTCATCAGTGAATGAGATAGTATCTGTTGCTTCTCATCAGTCCACTACAACATACAGTTATACATTAATAGGTCTGTACAGTGGTATGAACTATACCATCACAGTGAGAGCTGGTAATGTACTAGGAGCATCAAATTCAAGCATCATATCAGCTAAGACATCATTATCAAGTAAAAATATATTGCTGATTTCCTGTGAAGCTTGACAATATTTCTTCACTATAGTACCTGTAGGTGTACCCTCATCTCTTCATGTTAATCCAAACACTAATAGGATTATGTGGAATGAGATCAATTGTTCTCAACTCAATGGTAGATTCGTTGAATATAATGTACTCATTGAAAATATATATCTCAATGAGCTGGTGTTTGGTGCAGCATACAACATTAGTGTAGCTGCTGTCAATCCTGTTGGAAGAGGTCCCTTTAGTGATCCCATTGTTGTAGAGATTGGAGGTATATCTAATCATAATAATTGTGACTTAATTGCAAATAAAACTTTCTATAGCTAGTAATATTTGTGATGCATCTAATGAAGGTGGTGCTGCTATCGGACTTGCAATTACTGTAGCTTTATTGATCATTCTATTAGCTATTAGTCTTGCTGTCCATATCTACTGTTTCATAAGGTATACTATTAATAAACACAAGAAAAGTTATATTAATTTATAACTCATTTCTAAAGATTAATGTATCCCACTATTGTTGAAACAAAAACAAGTAAATCCATTGCCAAAGATGAAAATAAGTTAGTGCTTTTAATAATGCTGATATGTGACCATAATTGACAAAAGGTACCTTATGGCGGGTAGTGAAATTTGTCTTTCTAGCCTAAGAAATCCAACTTCCTGAGCCCCATTTATCATAAAATTACTCCACAGGATGCAAAAAGTTACCATGAAACTTTTAGAAACAATGATTGTCTAACAAAGCACTCACAGGTTGATATTTTCCATTATAACGATCAATTTTAAAATCCGCCATAAGGGCCCTTTTGTCAATTATGGTCACATATTATGATTGTGTGTGACACAGAATTATTGACATCAAAATGAAAGAATGTGAATCGTATGGTCTTCATGAAATAAGTAAAGCAGTGGTGTATGAGGAGTGTTTGCCTGCTGATGATCTATTTCCTGTTGTTAATGAACCTACTACTGAAGCATTATACAACTAGTTGAAGCATGATACAACTACTGTCATTGTTA